CGCGAGGAGAAAGAAAGTAGACATTGCCTATTCATTGAAGAAAATAAAAATGATGATATTAATATTACCAAACGTATTTATTTTTAAAGATCATATCCTTCTGCAAGGCTGCTTTCACATAGGAGGGCAAACGTTGCAGTGAATCGGCGCCTCAGGAAAGTGGGTAGCCTCAAGAGAGGCAGGTTTAATTTACCATAAGGAAAATGCGCGCATCACGGCAAAATCGATACAAAAGAGACTCAAGTGACGAGCATCTTTATGGGCGTAACATAAGGCACGTGAAGTTAATATGGCCACGTTAAGTGCCTCAAATTTTGCTGTTAATATATTTCAACAATTGACCAAATTAACAGTTCAATGCTGAAATTTAACACTTTTGCTTCAAGTAGAAATAGTTTTATCGCAAAAATCAGAAATATTATTTTGATATTTTACAAAAACATTCTAATTTGAAGGTAATAAACTCACATGAAGGTTTTATGGCGATTGCCAAATTAACTTGTTTCTTGTACCAGGATCCTGGAGTTTGGGCTAGCTATACTAATATATATCAATTACACTCTTACAGTCTAATCTTATAAAATACAGCCTGAAATAAATCATTAAAAAAATAGCGCGAGAGTTAATAAGAAGTTTATAAGAATTTATGACAAAGCGCCTTTAGCGCGTTCTTGACAATAAAATCTCCAGAGTGCGAATGCGCGAATCTGGTAGGCTGTTAACGCACTTCTTACACTCTCCCAGACTGCATGCTTGAACAATCAATCGGAAATAGTTTCAGCTAACACCATAGAGAATGATAAACACTGATTATGTTGTCAAATGCTTTATTTGACGATTTTTTGAAAAAATTAAATAATTATGCAACACAAATTCTGAATTTAAGCGGTCATGAGCCGCAACTCACAATGTTCGTATTTAACAAGGAGAAATATCAATTATCTGCTCCCTTAGTTGGAATTATGACAAATTTTACTAGCTAAAATGAACGCTAATACAGTGGAGTCTCTACTATATAACTTCAAATAGATTTTTTCTTGCTATTATTTTGACATAAAAACTAAAAATCTCTAAAAAATGAGTTATGACCGTTGACCACGAAGGTACAGAATTACTGCTTTTAATCTTCTATATTTATTATTCTATTAAAGAAGAACAAGTCATGTTCTACAAAAAATAGTTAAAGTATTCGTATGTCGTTCGTAATTTATTTTCTGGCTTCCACTCGTTATTATTTTCTTTACAAACACAATTACAAAGGTTCGCTCTGAAACTCAGAAAATTAGATTAATTCTAGAAAAATAGTGAAATTAGTACTGTTGCACAACTTGAATTAAAATTTAAAACAATCTTGGGGACAGTTACTCCTATTTCTTGGGACATACGAATACAAACGTCGTTATTTAATTTGTTGTTAATCTGTTGTTTTTGCACGAGTTGTGTTATAGCTGTGTATCTCGTCACACAATAAAAGGCGTCATAAACCACATTTGGGATTGACAACACGTTCCACGTGTACCAAACTGCCCAGAATAGCACTTTTGAAGGAATAGCACATTTAGATAGGAATTTTTCGATACTGCTGCAAAATAATAGAGTATTTGAAATAATTTCAAATCTTCTTAGCTTAATCTTGACTTTAAAAGCAATTAAGTTCAGGATATTTGTATGGAAACAAATTTGATGGAAGGAGGCAGAGTCAATTAGGAAAGCCGGAAGAACGAAGTCGGGTACTTCATTTTCTTTAAATTAAGTTCCTTCTGGTTCAAAAAATTAACTATTCAAAAACATTATACACCGTAATTTTACAAACGCCGAAATATAATAAATGTTATGGACTACCGTGTGGTTCAAATAGTTATCTATTCAAAAACATTATACATCGTAATTTTACAAACGCCGAAATATAATAAATTTTATGGACTACCAAAACAAAAACTCATTTTGAAAAAACAAGATCTTCAGTTTGAATTTCAAATTTTTTTGACCATCCCCATCATCTCCTTCCCTTCATTTGTGTCTTGTGCATTACATTGGAAGAAATATCCTCCCTAAACGTTTTTTTAAAATTATTTATTCCTGTACAACTTAACTCTTTTTCAGTTTAAAACATAGACAACTTACATCAATAAAAATGCAACGTATAGAAAAGAAATATAGCCCATATTTACAGTACTAAGACGATCCACTCGTGTCTTCCGTATTGTTGATTTGGGCAGTTTGCCTGGCTGCTTTGAAACCAGAGGGGGTGGAGGAGGAATCGAACCATGCGTTACAGTAGGCCTTAATAAATATAAAACAGTGAAACTTTTTGGAATGATTTTGAATGTCTGAATGTAATAAAATAATTATTAGATCTAAACAACATATTTTCACATTAAGTGGAAGTTGACCCCGACAGTCCGCTTACGCTAGATGTGCAATGTTCTCGCCCGGTATGGATGCAAGCAGGTGCAAATCCACGGGGAGGAAAATGAGGGAAATCACCCCTAAAATATTTCAGTTCCTAACCATTAATTTTCACGAAATTTTCAAGCAAAAATATTTTCGGATAATCATTAAAACGAATAACATAGTACCACAGCATGAGCTGAGTGTAGCCTGCAATATTTTACAAAGTGCGTAATACGACACATTCGCCCAAAATATTTTGAATTTCTCCTTCCCAAATTTGTCTCTGGATTCGCCCCTGATGCAACTTTCATTTTGGATTAATAATCTTTCGGGGGCCACAATAAACGGCGCCGCGGGCCGCCAGTTGGACAACCCTTCTCTACACCTGTGCCTTGCCTTCATGTCTTGTTTCTCAGTAGCTTAAGGCCCATTCACAATGCAAACCTAAACATAAGCGTAAAGCATAGACGTAAACATTAACAAAAGTAATAGATTGAAGTATTCCCAAAGTCTAACATAAACGTGAGAAAAATAAAAGTTTTTATTGACTGTAAGACATTCTGGTTTACTATTGGTTGGATGTGAGAATCGATTTCGAGGTATCGACTGTGTCCACGGCCCATTCAGCTTCGTCTATCGACTTCTGTTATGTTTGGATTCTCGATTTTGAGTTAACGTTCTGTGTTTGGTTTATTTCTTACGTCTTACTTAAGCATAAGCACAGAACCTTGAAGTTTGCAAGCTTGAAGTTAACGTCTTACGTGTTATGCTCATGCGCACGCCTTGTGAATGAGTCCGCTTACGGATTCCTAATTTCTGTGTTAACGCCATGCCCATGGTTGTTCGCATTGTGAATGGGCCTTCATTCCGCATCACGCGACGTGTGTATGTATGTGTGTGTGTGTGTGTGTGTGTTGCAGGCGGGAGCGACGCGCGCGCGCGGCGC